GATCTCGAGATTCTATTTTTACATGGCTGCAGAAACGATTTCGTCTTGAAACTGGTACATGAGGAATCTCGACCTTCAGGACTATTCGGAACAATTTTAAGTTTTCCAAAACTCGAATTTTTCATTCTGCAGGATCTCGAAATTTGGGTTTGCGAAATTTGGGATTTCGACACTTGGGATCTCGATATTTAGGATCTCGACATTCTGAAGATTTCGAGATTTTTAATTTTTTTTATGTTTTGAATGTTTCAAAGTTTGCAGTTTCTTGAAACCCAGAAACTCTTTAAAACATTCTTGAATGCTTTAAAATTTTTTATGTTGAAATATTATTATCATTATTATGATTATTAGTATCATTATTATGATTATGATGATTATTATGATGGTGATTATTATTATGATGATTATTATGATGATTATTATTATTATTATTATTACTATTATTATTATTACTATTATTATTATTATTATTACTATTATTACTATTACTATTATTACTATTAGTATTATTATTATTATTATTATTATTATTATTATTACTATTATTATTATTACTATTATTAGTATTATTATTATTATTATTATTATTATTATGATCATCATCATCATCATCATCAAAATTTGACTAACATTTAATGCTAAAATGGTACTGGGGTCCAAAGCATGGGACGTACACAATGAATTGATCCTGAAATGATATTTCAGCGGCTGAATAGAGGAAGGAAATCACTGGGAGATCAGCTCCAGCACAAGAAGACGAACAAACAACTCGTCCTTGTCTAATATTTAACGAAAGAGATTAAAACATCCTAACCAACAGATGAGATTAATCCACAGGAGAAGCCTATAAATATAGGCTGAAATGAAAGTTTCTAACTAAGCTTGAGCATTCTAAGTAGATAAATATTTCATTAAGATTCACAAGATATCTAGCAAAAGAGAAAGTGTGAATCTATACTTTACTCTCTGCTTAGACTCATGCTTCACTAAACTTCTTAGTCTTATGTATTCATTGCTAAATCCTAGAAGTTTAGTTCCTAGTTGGAGGTTAGAACTTTATTGCAATCAAATCACAAATTGTTGTAAACACTTAGGAGAACAATTGTTCGGATCCTACAGTGTGGTTAGATAGATAGAGTACCTTTTGATCCCCACTGGATCATTTGAGAAAAGTCTAAGGATTGAGTAACTTTGAGTGGTGTTATACTCATTGTGAAAAACCTTCAATCTAGGCCTAAATGTTGTAGAGGCCAGATTGGCACTAAGTGTATTGGGCTTAATACTTTAGTGAAATCCATCTGAAAGAGGGTGGGACTGGACGTAGGAGGAATACACCACCTCTGAACCAGGATATACTGTGTGTTGATTTATTTTCAGTCAACAAAGCACACACCAAACACTTCTCACAAAAGATTGTAGTTTGCCAGCAGCATCCTAAGCAGTAGTCTTAATTGACCCTACTGCTTATCCTACTCCTTAATAACTCACTTTCTTTGAGATACAAGAGGCTTGCAATATCACCAAAAAAGGCCTATTCTATCAAATCTCTAGAAATCATCTTAAGGCATATCAGGTGCCTCAGCAGTCCCCTGGTGACTACCCAACTGCTGAGCCTACTGCTCATATAAACTTATTTCTCTCGAACATCTAAACTTCACCTGACCTTCACAACACTCTCACTGAGGAGTTAGTTCAAACTGATCTCTGAAACTTAAGCTGAAACCCAGCAGGTGCCTCAGCAGTTCCCTCACTGCCACCCAACTGCCGAGACCACTGCTCCAGTAAAACTCCCATTTACTTGTACCAAAGCACATCTTTAGAAAGCCCTCATCACCCTGAGAAACACTACATAATCAATCTTCCCATACCTTCATTTTCACCTAAGCAGGTACCTCAGCAGTTCCCTGGTTACTACCCAACTGCTGAGACCACTGCTCTCATTAAGGTTGATTATCAATTCACCTCGTTACATCATCAAAAAGACTTTTTCTTTCTGATAAAGATTCTACTTTCACTTTCATCATACACTTAATATTTTCTCAGCAGTTGTCTCAGCAGTTGCCTGCCATCCAGTCCTCTGCCAAGCCAACTGCTCACCACTTAAATTCCAAACTTCATCCATCATAGAAAGTTGTTACACACTATCTATATAAGAGGTTAAAGACTTCCGCTGTGCATCTATAAATCTCCCAAAAGACTATAGATCAACTCATCTAGAAGGGAAAAGTTTTTAAAGTTGAAAAAGCTTTAAAAGTCTATTCACCCCCCTCTAGACTTTTACCTCTATCCGGGACCATCAAAGAGGCAGTAAGGACAATCCGCCCCCTCCTGAACTACCACCATGGATTCCAATTCCAAAGGGAGATCACAAGACAAGTTACTTTAATCGCTTTTATTTAATTTTATTTAAGAACTTTTACTATGTTATTATTGTTGACATGCAACAGCGGTATGTGTTTTAGTTTTGAGATTATTTTTGGTGATGGTTGCTTAGGTGAAAGCGATAAGGCTTTCGTGGCCGGTAAAAGTTTTGAAGCTCTCACATGGTTAGCGATTAATCTCGCTCATAACCGGAAGGTCTATTCTGTATCTAATCAAAGAGTGAGAAAGTTGTTTGGCTACGCGGAGTCTCTTAGGGAGACTTGGTTTATTGTGGTTATGGAGACGTTTGGGTCTTTAATATTTATAATATAAGCTAGTTTCCTTTAAAAAAAGGACTATCTTCTCTAAACAAACCGGTGCCATGGAGAAACCTATTAAGCACGTTACACAAACATGTGGCCTATTTGTATTGGACTTCCTTTTTTCCCTTTTTCTTTCCTTTTGTTATTTCATTTCTCTTCTTCTTGTCGTGCTTTTGAAACTACTGGTTTCTCGCCAAGACGCCAGCCCATCCAAGCTCATCTTCAGAAAGCATGACACCGGCCCCTTCCCTGTTAAACAAAGTCCTTCATGTAAATTACTTTGAATCGGTAAATCAATCATTTGTCCTTGTGGATCTGACATTAAGCATCTCATACCTACCAATTCATTATCCAATAAAGTAATGGATCTTTCACAACCCGATCTACTTATAAGTAACGATATTTAAGTATGAAAGTTAGCTTAGTTAGCTTACCTTTTTAGTCCGTTCTTGCAAGATTGGGTCCCCACCGTCATCGGGGGAGATGAACAGGCGAGATTCGAAGAAGATTGAAGAAGAAGATATAGACCAATGGAGAAGATATCCTGACCATTCGAACATCCATTTTTCTTCGTTTTCCTTTTACCATTGCTTATTTTGTTTATTATGTTCATTATTTATTCTTCTTCCTCATGAGCTTATATTGTGGCTTTGTGTTATTTTTTTTTCATTTCTTTTACTCATTTTACTTTGTTTTGTAGTACTTTTCTTTCATCATTTTCTTTTCTCATTCCTTCATTGCATCTGCAAATGTCTTGACTCGACCTCTTATTTGGACTTGAATCTCATTGCATTTTTTAAAAATCCAACACAGAAGTTTGATGAGGGAAGTGGCAAGCCACTCACGAAGCTTGGTACTTACCAATGAAGGGGACTGAAATAGAGAAAAGAGCATCTCCAATGCAAGGGTGTGGTCTCTTACACACCCTTACGCATGGGTCCCATTTTTATCTCATAATTTTTATGTGTAGGATCCACATATTTCCTAATTTATTTTCATTTTCATTTTTTATATCACTTTGAACTCACTTTTCATCATCTTTTCATCCTCGAATCCCGTGTTTCAATTGTAGTCAAATAATTTGGAAATATTGGGCGCACTTCAATTGTAGTCAAATTCGGAAAGCAAACGGTGTTTCCAAAATTGAGCAGCTCAGATCACTTTATTTGACAAGACTACATGTTTTTATTCCATTGAAATCTTCAAACCGTTAAAGTCTGGCCCTGTTTTAATCTGATTATTTTAAATTTCATATAATCTAGATTATGTCTAAGTCTAATTTGATTGGTTTAATTAAGATAGAACTAGTTCACATAAAAGAAATAAGTACCGAAGAAAAAATATGGATAACTATAAAAGAAAACCGCACTTTTAGTTTTTGAAATATTCACTATGTTGAAATGTCAGACATGTATTTATGAGATTATTAATGCCACACCCCAATTTTTTAAATTGCTGTAAACGTGGTCCTTTGAGGGGTGAAATGTACTACTCGCCCACATTGTACATTTCACACCTCAAATGACTACATTTACAATAATTTGGACAAGTGAGGGATGACATTTACAAACTATGGAACACGAGTTTGAAATTTCAATATGGTGACTATTTCAGGGACTAGTGCAATTTTCCCTCAATTGTCCAATATATACGATTATATATAGGGTGCTTCTACGGTGCACTCCTTAATTCGGTGTGTTTTGGTACACATCCTTTTTAATCAGTCATCGTCCTTTTTAACCACTCATCCCATTATATCTTAATCTTATGCCACCTAATATCCTCATTAACTAAACATAATAATTTGCCATTTTTGCATTTGGATCCTTCACCGGCTTAGAAAAAAAAGGTTAAACTGAACAAAATCGTCAAATGAGATCTATTTAAATAGAAATAAATAAATATTTAATTGTCAAAGTATGTGCAAAGTTTAAAAGTATTCTAAATAGGAATTATTATTTGTAGTTGGAAGGGAGTACAAAAGTACCCCTTGAAGTTTGACAAAACTTAATGCAGCCTGATGGGGTTATGGGACTAGGTCCAGAGCCTAATCGGCCCAGGCCCCGGACTTGGACCAGCAGGCCCAAGCCCAGTGATCCAGAGCTCATTCTGACCCAACCGTTAGGCCTATCAAAGAGTGAAAGCCCAGGGCGGCCTGCCGTCCAGCCCAGCAGGGAGCCTGCCTACCAGCCCAGTCAGCAGCCTGCCTTCCAGCCTACCCGGGAGCCTGCCTTCCAGCCTACCCGGGAGCCTGCCTTCCAGCCCAGCAGAGAGCCTGTCTTCCAGCCCAGTGGGGAGCCTGCCTTCCAGCCCAGTGGGGAGCCTGCCTTCCAGCCTAGCCAGGAGCCTACTGACCACCAGCCCGCTGGGAGCCTGCGATCCAGCCCAACTGGGAGCCCGCGGTCCAGCCCAGGTGGGAGCCTGCCTCCAGCCCATCGGGGAGCCTGCCTTCCAGCCTACCCGGGAGCCTGCCTTCCAGCCTACCCGGGAGCCTATCTCCAGCCCGGTGAGAAGCCTTCCTCAAGCCTAGCGGGAAGCCCACCGTCCAGTCCAGCAGGAGGGAGCTCAAGCGTCCAGCCTGCCAGCCAGGCTGACCTGCCAGCTAGGAAGAGTAACGGCCAACAATCAATGCGCTACTTAATTATGTGTTTAATTCCGTATTAATGTTGTAATTAATTTAGTCATTATTATGTTCGGCAGTTACCATTTGTAATCGCCTATAAAAGGCAATTCGAATTTCAAATACAGATATGCTATTTCTGGCTAACTTTCCATATTCGTACTTTCCTAATTCCTGCTTGAGTGTCGTACGTAGCTTTCCTAAAAGCCTACGAGCGTCCTATTTTGGACAAACATTGGTGCTTTCATTGAGAGCCTCTATTGTCTCTCACATAACTTGAGCAGGAATCACACAGGAAGATGGCTGGAATCTCGTCTCGACGTGACCATGTCTCAGTCCACACCGAAGAGTCCGCCCGGTCTGGCCGCCAGCGTGCCCTCAACAACCATGCACAGGGCAGGAGGGCGGCGCGCCAAGGCGACCTTCGGAACCAATTATCAGGCCACGGCGACCTAAGGGCGACGCTCAACCACACTCAAGGTGAGCGCTCGGTCCGCAGCCGGCGGGGGGGAGGCCGACGTCATGCTCCGCGCATGGACCCGACTCGACTCAATGCCGGGGTGGAAGCTCTGCAGGAGGCAACTCAGGTTCTGGGGACCTTGGCTCAAAATTTCCAACAGATGGTGTCTGGCGGAAATGTGGATGAGCCTGCCCGTCAACAGACGCCAGCGGATGTGGAGGTGTCCTCCAGGCGGCGTGATGAGCGACGCTCTGGATCCAACCAAAACAGGGGGGAAGAAGTCTCCCATCGGCGGGGGGAAGAAGTCTCTCAGCAGCCTAGCCGACCCCATCGGCAGACGGGGAGGGGCGCCCAGCAGGGGCGCCCAACGCAGATGGAAGGAGGCGAGCCCTCTCGCCACTCTCACCGGGCGAGCAGTCGGACTGGCTCCACGGAGAGGCAAAACGTGGGGCCCCGACCTCACGTGCACGGACGACTTGGAGGTGCCGCCGGACATGCTCAGCCCCGCGCTGGAGCTGTCCGGGGGAACCCACCGCCGGCCGAGGTGGAAGATCTACGACAGCGCCTTGACGAGTTGAGAAGGAGGGTCGTCGGGGGGGAGCCCTACACGGCCGACCTCCGGATACCCGAACCCTTCACCCGGGCGGTCATGGATGCGCCGTTGCCGAGGGGCTACAAGCCATGTGCCATTGAAGCATACAAGGGCGCTTCTGACCCCCAACATCATGTATCTCGGTACCTTTCCTACATGGTCATGATGGGGTACGAGGACGCAATCCGATGCCGCGGTTTCTCCGCCACTTTGGATGGCCCGGCTCGTGAATGGTATGACTCTCTACCCGACGGGAGTATCACGAAATTCCGTGAGTTGGCTCAGCGCTTTCTCTTGAGGTTCGCGAGCTCCCGAGACGTCAAGAAAAACTTCAGCCACCTGTTCGGCCTAAAACAGGGGAAGAAGGAATCATTGTCGACCTTCCTAGCGAGGTGGAGGGCCGAGTCAGTCAAGGTTCAGGGCCTTGATGACAGGACCGGGGTGGCCATGCTCACAAACTCTATCCGATCGGGTGAGCTTTACAAAGATTTCGTCAGAAGTCCCCCTACCTCGTACGAGGAGGCGCTCGGCCGTGCCGACCGGCAAGCCGAGGCGGAGGACGCCTTGCAGAGGAAAAGAGATGAGGAAGAAGGTACAAAAGAAGAAAAGAAGAAGGAAGCCGGTTCGGGTGCTGAGAAAGCTGACGGCAAAGCTAACAACAAAAACAACAAGTACAGAGGTAACAAAAGTAGAGGCAAGGGCAAGGCGGACGTCCCGAGCGGACCGCTACAGCCCGTCAAGCAATTGACTCCACTTGCTCAGCCGGTCGGGGCCATCCTCGACTACGCGGAGGAGCAAGGTTTAGTCGACTTTCCGGAGGAGTGTGATGTGGTGACTGCCAAGCGCAACCACGACCAATATTGTCGATTCCATCGGAGAGCAGGGCATGATACAGATGATTGCGTCATTCTCCGGCGGCAAATTGAAGAACTCATCCAGAAAGGGTACCTGGGCCAATTCGTTGGCAAACAAGGAGGCATCCCGCAGAAGAGGAGCCTGACGTGGCAGCGGTCCGACCAAGCTACCACGTCAAAGGAGACACCGCCTGCCAAGAAGCGGGAGCTCGGCGCCTTCTCCGAGGAAGACGATGCCGACCTAGGGAACGGCCCCCGGAAGTACCATCGATGTTCATTCATATTCGGGGGACCCCAGGGAGGCGACACCTCTGGAGAGCGGAAGTAGTGGGCCCGAGCCCTATACGTGGGGGAGATAACCAGGGCTCCCGCCGACAAGAGGGTGAAGAGGGACCCCATCTTCTTCACCGACGCAGATTTGCCGCCGATGCCTCCGCCACACAGGGATGCCTTGGTCATCAAGGTCGAAATCAACGACACGATCGTCCACCGAGTCCTGGTGGACAATGGGAGCTCCGTTAACATCATGTACTATGACACCTTCCAAGGTCTCGGGCTGGACCGAAAAGACTTGATCCCGGTGAGAACCCCACTCTCGGGCTTCACCGGGGACTCCATTGAGTCAGAGGGCAGCATAGTCCTCCCCGTGATGGTGGGCTCCGAGCCCTGCGTATCCAAGTTAGACGTCGAGTTTATCATCGTACGCCTAACTTGTGCGCATAAGATCATCATGGGAAGGCCGGCCCTGGAAGACCTCAGATGTGTGATATCCCAGGAGCACCTATGCATGAAGTTTCCCACTCCGAATGGCGTCGGAGTTGCCAGGGGAGATCAGCGAATGGCGAGGAGCTGCTATCTGAAAGCTTGCAAACAAATCGGTCAAAAAGACTTGAGGGTCCACACTATCAACAGCAAAGCCATGAAGTATGAGGAGGGTCAGCTCCGCGCTGAACCCACCTCAGAAGTGGAGGAGATCCAGATTGACCCCGAGAGGCCGGAGCGGAAGGTCAAGATCGGGACCGGGCTCCCAGCCGGCTTGAGGGAGAGGATTATCCAGGTACTTGTCCGTTTTAGCATTGTCTTCGCGTGGGGACCGGAGGACATGCCTGGCCTTGACCGAAGCATCGCTGTCCATCGGCTGGCGGTCAATCCAATGGCGAAGCCCATCCAGCAGAAGAGAAGACACCTCTCAACCGAGAGGAGGGAATTCGTGAAGAAGGAGGTCAATATGCTCCTGAGTATCAAGCATATCCGGGAGGTCTTGTACCCGGTCTGGCTGGCAAACGTGGTCCTGGCCCCGAAGCCGCCAACCTGGAGGATGTGTGTTGATTACACCGATCTCAACAAGGCATGTCCGATGGATCCATTCCCATTGCCTAACATCGACCAACTAGTCGATGGGACGGCCGGATGTGAGCTCCTTAGCTTCATGGACGCTTTTCGAGGATACCATCAGATTTTCATGCATGAAGAAGATGCGGAGAAGACCTCATTCGTCACCCCAGAGGGGATTTTTTGTTATCTTGTCATGGCCTTCGGGCTGAAGAACTCTGGGGCGACGTACACGAGGATGGTGGCCAAGGTATTCCGGAAGGTGCTCGGAAGGAACATGGAGGCGTATGTTGACGACATGATCGTCAAGAGCACCCGGGCATCCGATCATGCAGATGATTTGGCAGAGATCTTCGGGATCATGAAGGCAGTCCGTCTGCGCCTGAATCCGAAGAAATGTACCTTTGCCGTCCAAGGAGGCAAGTTCCTGGGGTACATGGTCACACGGAGGGGGATTGAGCCAAATCCTGAGAAGGTAAGGGCAATACTTGACATGGAACCCCCGAGGTCAGTGAAAGAAGTCCAGATTCTTACCGACCGGCTAGCAGCCCTCGGACGCTTCATGTCCAAGTCCGCCGAGAAGTCCCTACCCTTCTTCCAGGTCCTAAAGAAACAAAATGGTTTCGTCTGGAATGATGAGTGTCAACGAGCCTTCGACGACCTGAAGAAGTACCTCCTCTCTGAGCCTTTACTCAGCAAGCCGGAGAGGGGGGAGACGTTAATCCTTTATCTTGGGGTTTCCCAAGGTGCAATCAGTTCCGTGCTGGTTCGCGAGGAGGAAGGCGTTCAACGTCCCGTCTACTATGTGAGCAAGACCCTACAGAATGCTGAGCTCCGGTACACCCCGCTCGAGAAGACAATATATGCCGCCTACATCACCGCCAAGAAGTTGACACACTACTTCCAAGCGCACCCGATCAGAATCCTGTCGGACCAACCCCTAGGTGCCGCTCTGAGGGCGCCCGGCACAACCCGGGTAGTGAAGTGGTCGATGCTCCTCAACCAATACGAGGTTGACTTCCAGCCCCGGATGTCCATCAAAGGCCAGGCTCTGGCTGATTTCATTGTGGAATGCACGGGCCGAGAAGTGGCAGATAGGCAACAGGAGAGCAATGAACAATGGTGGACTCTAGCGACTGATGGGTCGGCAGGAGCCAAGGGATGCGGGGGCGGAATCGTCCTCATCTCACCCGAGGGATTCCGAGCCTACTATGCCTACCGTTATCTTTTCAAAGTCTCCAACAATGAGGTGGAGTACGAGGCCCTACTATCTGGGCTACGATTGGCGGCCGCCATGGGAGCAGAGTGGATAACGGTGAAATGTGACTCCCGTCTGGTGGTTTCACATGTCAAAGGTGAGTTCGAAGCGAAGGAAGAAAGAATGATGAAGTATCGAGATGTTGTTCGGGAGTTGCTCGGGTTGTTCAAGCAAGCAGAGTTGATCTGCATCCCGAGAAATCAAAACTCCGATGCAGACCTCCTCTCAAAGCTATCCCAAGGGTTACCTGAACATATATCGAGAATTGCACGCATTGAGGAGATGACGACCTCAAGCATATCAGCCTCACCGTCCATTGACGTCCTTTCCCTGCAACCAGTCGCCTGGTGTTGGGTGGATGACCTCCTGCGCTACATTGCCGATGGGACGCTCCCCGAGAAAGAAGAGGAGGCAAGGTTAGTCCGGCGACGAGCTCCGGGCTACGTCGTCTTGGATGGGAAGTTGTACAAGAGGTCCTACAATGGGACCTTGCTAAAGTGTTTACGCCCACATGAGGCGTAAATGATCGTCTCTGAACTCCATGGGGGCGTATGCTCCGCCCATCAGGGAGCAGGCACGTTAGCTAGGAAGGTCGTCCTCCAGGGGTACTTTTGGCCAACAATAATGAAGGATTGCGCTGACTATGCAAGGAGATGCAAGACATGCCAGAAGTTCCAGAAGAGCCCCGGCCGACCAGCAACGATGTACACACCGATCAGCACTGCCCTTCCATTCACAAGATGGGGTGTCGACCTGGTCGGTCCCTTACCAACCGGGTCGGGAAACCGGAAGTTTGTCATCGTCGCGGTGGACTACTTTACGAAGTGGGTTGAGGCCGAGCCGCTTGCCAGCATCACACATCTCCAATGTAAGAAGTTCATATGGAAGAATATTTTCTGCCGGTTTGGGGTTCCCCTCCAAATAATCTCCGACAACGGAAGGCAGTTTGACTGCGAAGCCTTCCGGCAATTCTGTGCAGAGTGGGGAGTAGAATCCAGCTGAGTTGCGGTCTGCTACCCCCAGGCAAATGGACAGGTGGAGAACACCAACCGGACGATTGTCGATGGACTGCAAAAGAAGTTGGAGGCCCTCGGGACTGCCTGGGTGGAGGAGTTGAACAATATACTCTGGACCTTCAGGACAACCCCAAGGAAGGCAACAGGAGAGACCCCCTTTGCCTTGTGTTATGGCTTTGAGGCGAGGGCACCATTTGAGGCCGTGGTTCCCAGCCGGCGAGTAGAAGAGTTCGAACCAGCCAGCAATGAGGAGAGGCTCCGAGCCGAGCTCCACCTCATTGAGGAAAGAAGAGACCGTGCCTTCATCAAAGCGGAAAACTATCGACGACAAGTCAAGGCGTACCAAGATAGCCGAGCCCGACCCCGGAGTTTCGACGTCGGTGATTATGTCCTAAGACGTAGGAAGGCCAGCAGGCCGACGGAGGGAGGAAAGCTCTCCGTCAAGTGGGAAGGCCCTTACGTGGTTGACGCAGTGATCGGCCCTGGGACATACAAGTTGAAGACAACAACAGGCCGGTTGGTAGACCGCGTCTGGAATGCCGAGCACCTGATGAAGTTTTACCAGTAGAAAATCGAAGTTTCACTTTTCTTTGTAAACTCCTGTGTTCCGAGCACGGGATTACAATTTGTAATTCTTCATGTGGTCCGCCCACATCATGAATTCAATATAGTTTGCTAGCGATATTTTGTCATCAAAAGAGGTCCGACCTCACTTAGCAATAAAGGGCGGCGGCGGCAAAAAAAAAAGGTACTATGCCCCCCCCCCCTCGGTGTTTGGCCGACCTCGCCTAGGCTCTTTAACCGAAAATAGCCAAGCGATTTTCAAGAATCTGGGCAATTTTCTAAAGTAAAGAGCTAGCCGCGACAGTCGAGGCGACGGTAGGGCCGGCCTCCGGGTCGAGGGTACTCAGGATGCTGACCTCCGGGTCCTTTCGAGTGCTCGCCGCCTAACATCGCTGGCCAAGCAGCTCGCACTCTCGTCATCCCTGAGTTGGCGGTGCGGGTTCGTTCTGGTGGATCATGCAGGGTCCGCCCCTGTTGTTTGGCTATCCATGCGGGAGTAACCAGATTATTCCCCAAGTCCAGGCAAACTGGACGGGTTAAAGTGACAGTAGGACTGACCCCCGGGGCATGAACGTTCAGGATAGCGAACATACCTAAGGGTCTTCCTCATCGGTTCAATGTCCGACCTTGCTGGCCAAACAAGTCGCTTACTTGTTGATTCCATATCAATAGCGAACATATCACTTCTACCCAACTAGGAGGGGCACGGATAGGCTCGGCCACGCCAGCCTAACCGCCCCCCGGGAGGTTAGAGAAGCCAGATCCCCGAATAAATTGCTATGTATTCGTAATGCAAAGTATAGAAAAGGAGGCGTATGAAATAAATATCAAACATCCATTCGAAACACAGAATATTCAAGCGGGAAACAAAGGAAATACAAAATACAAGGTCGTAGCTAAGCGGACCCAGCACCATCATGTCCAATGGTCTAATCACGGGAACGGCTAGGAACCTCAAAGAGGTCTCTTGGAATCCAGACTCTAGTGCCATCCCCTCCATGGTTGTTCTCACCATAATGATTCTTTAAGCACTTGGGAAGACCTAGCCGAGGCATGAAATTGTCTCGCTGCCTGTCTGAGCGTCCTTCACCTTTTCAGACTCATGAGAGAGCTTTGCCCAGACACAATCAAAACTCTTGGAAACCTGCAAAGACAAAAAAAAAAAGAGAAATAAGAAATCGACAAAGCTCAGGCCAACATGGAGTGCACCAACAAAGAGAGCACCCGCCTTGGCTGCCCAGTGGCACAGCTACCGGTTGCCTGAGCGACGACTGTCGGCACAACGACGGCCCCCGGTCCCTAACCAACACTGTCCAGTCAAGGAGAAGTTGAGGGTAGGAGGAACTGCTCGCGTGGGGCGCCGGACAGCCTGCGGCAAACCACCTTCGAGCTCATGGGGAAAGCTGGGCGCCTAGCTCAACTCCTCGAAATTCCACCGACCAAGAGGGAGTTCAGACCTGATGGCCAAATCCGAGGGGCTACACCGGCCAGTTACAATGACATGCGGCAGCAGCCGTCCAAACAACCTGGCCGCCTTAAAGGAGGAAGACTCCACCCACCGCCGGACGGAAGTGGGGTATATGGACGCCAACTCCACTAAACTTCGCCGGCCAACATGGAAGGCAGGCCCGCCGACCAAAGAAAAAAGGAGACACATATTGGCAGCTACCCAGTCTCCTGGCCGGCGGCTTCCAAGAAGGAGACGATGCCATCCGACCCGGGGTACCCAAACGCCTGGCCATCTGCCCGCCTGGACGCCCGGCCGCCTGACCGAGCACCAACAAGCAAAGGATGTTGGGGAAGACAACCGCCAAGGACGACGCCTGCCGCCTGACTTGAGGGCTCCACAGGTATCAACTTGTGGCAAACATCTACTCTTCCTCAAAACACGAAGTTGAAGCACCCCCTCAAATTCAATGGGGGATCCAATCTTGAAGCTCCATCCTCCCTCAAATTAGAAGATGTCCCTCAAAATGGAAGTTGGAGCTCAATCCGGCCTACGCTGGGTTTTTAACTTGGGGATTGCCAACCCGAAATCAGGCTCCAACGCTCTGCCGTAGCGGCACCAACCTTGAGGGAGATTCGTCCAAGCTGGTGAGGCCCAACCAACCTAAAGCCTCGCATTCTACCGGGCGAATTAGAGCCAACCTGCTGTGGGGTGCCAACCTGAGGTTTTTTCACCAGCTCACATATGTTTCCTGTCGGGGTGTCCGCCGGCCTGACATCGAGCTCCGCCATCCAACCAAAAAATCCGACGCCAACCTGGGAGGTGGGCCACCGAACTGCTGACCGCGGAGTCCTGACCGACCTGGAGGTGCGCCTGGTCGCACCTTGCTGCTGAATTCGTCCGCCGATCTGGAAGAAGAGGTGCCGGCCTGCTGGATTCCCGACTGCAGCGCTGGGGCAACGCGAGGAAGACGGACGCGAGGAGAGAGAGGAAAGAGAAGAAAGGAAAGGAAAAAAGAAATGAAAGAAAAAAAGAAAGGAAAGAAAAAGAAAGGAAAGAAAAGAAAAAGAAAGGAAAGAAAAGAGAAGGAAAGAAAAAAGAAGGAAAGAAAAGAAAAGGAAAGAAAAGAAAAGGAAGGAAAAATAAAATAAAGTCCGAAAATAATTTATGAAGTTATAAAAATGAATTTCAGGGATTTTTGGGAGTTGACCTGGATTCTGAAGTCCGGAAGAAAACTGACGACTGGAGTGCTAGGATGCTGAAGGAATTTTTCTGGAGCCTTTTTTGGGAGCCTAATTTAATTTGGGAATTTCCATAAACTCCGGGATTCACATAATCCACAATTATGGTTCCTTGATATGTGAATATTTTTAAATCGGCAGCTGACTTAAACTACTCCCTCTTAGCCGAGTCTACTACTCGACTAAGGGAGTGGGGGACTCGTGATGGGGTTATGGGACTAGGTCCAGAGCCTAATCGGCTCAGGCCCCGGACTTGGACCAGCAGGCCCAAGCCCAGTGATCCAGAGCTCATTCCGACCCAACCGTTAGGCCTATCAAAGAGTGAAAGCCCAGGGCGGCCTGCCGTCCAGCCCAGCAGGGAGCCTGCCTACCAGCCCAGTCAGCAGCCTGCCTTCCAGCCTACCCGGGAGCCTGCCTTCCAGCCTACCCGGGAGCCTGCCTTCCAGCCCAGCAGAGAGCCTGTGTTCCAGCCCAGTGTGGAGCCTGCCTTCCAGCCCAGTGGGGAGCCTGCCTTCCAGCCTAGCCAGGAGCCTACCGACCACCAGCCCGCTGGGAGCCTGCGATCCAGCCCAACTGGGAGCCCGCGGTCCAGCCCAGGTGGGAGCCTGCCTCCAGCCCATCGGGGAGCCTGCCTTCCAGCCTACCCGGGAGCCTGCCTTCCAGCCTACCCGGGAGCCTGCCTCCAGTCCGGTGAGAAGCCTTCCTCGAGCCTAGCGGGAAGCCCACCGTCCAGTCCAGCAGGAGGGAGCTCAAGTGTCCAGCCTGCCAGCCAGGCTGACCTGCCAGCCAGGAAGAGTAACGGCCAACAATCAATGCGCTACTTAATTATGTGTTTAATTCCGTATTAATGTTGTAATTAATTTAGTCATTATTATGTTCGGCAGTTACCATTTGTAATCGCCTATAAAAGGCAATTCGAATTTCAAATACAGATATGTTATTTCTGGCTAACTTTCCATATTCGTACTTTCCTAATTCCTGCTTGAGTGTCGTACGTAGCTTTCCTAAAAGCCTACGAGCGTCCTATTTTGGACCAACACAGCCGAACATCGCTGTTAACCGCTGGCAGCCGGCGCTACACATTTGGCCGCCATCTTATTACATCTGGTCAGATCTGGCGTCACCGATCTGACCACCGACATTGCACATCTTTCCATGAACCACCACCGTACATCTGACCAGATATGGCCACGTCGGCCGCCGGCGCTAAAGATCCGGCCTCTACCGCTAAAGATTTGGCCTACACTGACACCGACGCCGCGGATCCGGATCACCGGTATAGGGAACTAAGGGGCAATTGTTTATAGGTTTAAATATGATTTAAGTCCTTGCAAAATATTTTTTTTATGTTTTTCATCCTTGTATTATGCATTATTTGGTTTTTAGTATATCACTAAAAAAAATCATCCCTATAAATTTTTTGAGGAAAATATGATAGTTAAAAAAATAAAAACTAATTACTCACATTTTTAAAATACGTATTAAATTCCATTATATTATTAGGTAGACTAAAAGAAAAACTAACATACATTTTAGAAATGAAAAACAAAAAATTAATTTTGCAAGGATACTATATTTGCAGAGACTAAAAAAATATTTAAACCTTATTTATATTAGGAAGGAAAAATATGATATAAAAGTCCTATTTAAAAAATAAAATATACATAATCCTATTTAGAAATTTAAGAAACAATTCAATCATATTTAGGCTAATAACTCAATCCTCATTACAAGTCCTTAATCATATTTAGTAGCACAATACTAAAATGTGGTTGGATAAGAAAAGGTGTGTACCGGTGCACTCAAAATTTAGGAGTGCACCGTAGAATTTTCCAAGATTGTAAACGATTTATATAAATAGGCAAATGTTACGAAATACACCTTTCTTGAAAATCCTTGCTGAAAATGTGATTTTTGAACGATTATTGTACAATATTGGCTCTTAATTAACATTTGGTTAGTCAAAGTTCTCACATCACTTTTTTTAGTTGGAGACAATTAATGATAAAGTGGAGGTTTGACCCTGATGATTAGCATTGGGTTAACAATTCTTATCTCAGACTTTCCCAAAATTCTGCGAAATCGTTGATATACTAATAGTTTTTTCAAAAGTTTTTTTTTTATTTTTCAGGAACAGAGATCATATTCTAGGTTTCATAGGGAAAGTATTATTGTTGTAGTTATTGTTATTGGTGTTGTTGTTATTATTGTTGTTGTTATTATATGGACTAAAAAGAACTTTTGCAAAAAAGGAGAACTAAAGAAGTCGTATTTTTCTTCTATCTAAGATTAGATAGGTTTTGAAATCTTCTATCCCACGCTTGGAATTCCATTAAGAAATGTCTGATTGTAATCGATCGAAAAGCTCTTGATAGTCGAAGACAAATAAGTTGTGTATCTCCACATCATCATTACACGTTAAGAAACCAATAAATCAATATATATATTTTGACTTTGCGCCCCGATTTTTGGATGATATTGGGCTTTTGCACCTCATTTTTAAAATTCTTAGACTTTGCGCCTATTTCACCTAAAATGTCTTTGCCTTTGCACCCCATTCAGGAATTTTTCTTCACCAAATGATGTAGATATGGTGCAAAGTCTAGCTAAAATTTTAAAAATGAGGTGCAAAGTCCAATATCACCCAAAAAGTGGGATGCAAACTCTAAATTCCCGTTTACAATATTACCTTTTTCTCTACAATTGATTTTTGTATTATATTTTACTTAATTCATACACTAAAAATTACGTTAATATTGTCTAGCTCCTTCCACGTTGATTTTTTAGGATATTTTTAATTAGCCAAAAAAATAAATTTCGATTCAACCTGATCTGGTCTAGTGTGAGTGTGTGACAAATATATGTTTAATACGTAATATCAATTTTATTATTGTCTAATTCTGGCCTAATCAAATCCCAACTCATTTATTTTATTTGGCCTCATACGGAAAACAATTTTAAAAAAAAAACTATTCTCGACCCATCCTTCCTACCCACCCCCTTGTTTCAATTTGACTAAAAACATTCTTAATCATCGAGAGTCACTTCTATTAATTTTAAATGAAATCCACACACTGTAATTGGTTAACTTCGGACATAGATAGTATATGCTAACCATCTACCACCTTAGTCCCAAAAACAAATCTCAATTCCTTATTTAAATGTTTCAAAATAGGGTTTTTTTCTGTTTCAACTAAACTAAAATCTAAATAGGAAAGTGTGGCAAATGTACAATTGTAACAGAGTTTATATAAATTGAAAAATGAGAAATGTATAGGGTACGTGAAATGGTACGTGTTTCTTCCTTCCGGATGGCTGGTAAAATCGGGTTGTTTCCTTTGGAGATGGATGAACAAACCTCTTCTCCTTTCCTGATGGCTGGTAAAACCGAGACGCTTGAATTAGTTTGTTATTTTTATTTAACGAATTATTGTTTAGTAATCTCTCATTTTAGTAGCAAGTTCAGCGATACTGTTAGACTAGATTACAATGATGCAGGGTTAGAGAATTTGGCAGGTTCTCAGAGGCTAGTTAATTCTATGTCTCATTATTAATAATAATTAAGTCTTCTTCTTTCAAAATGAATGAACTATAATTAATGAGTTTTTTTGCGAATTAATGTGGATTAAATAAATAATTACCGAAATAATGTCTAGTTAAAAGTATTTACTGATCTACTGTTGGCTAAACCTTGGTTGAGGAAAGTCGCCAAATAATTTGGCGACTTATAAGTCGTCAACCGGGATGACAACTTATAAGTAGCCAAACGGTTTGGCGACTCTCCCCTTACAACAGATCGGTCGCCAACCTCTGCAGACAGAACACAATTCAGCAACAACCCCAAATCCCTTTAGGCGATTTCGAAGCAGCAGCTACGACTCCGGGGAGTGCATCAACGGCGACACCCCTCCACCTTGTCAAGGATACTCCACCTCCATCTTCTTCAACACTCTTTAATCTAGGTAAATCAAATCTCCATTTCATCTTATATTTCAAGTTAGGGTTTAGAACGTATAAATTTCAAATTTTTAAATTAGGAATTCATTGGTGAATTGATTTGTTGTGAAATGTGGATATGTATGAAATGTTGAATTCAATGTAATATTTTGATTTTGTAGTAGATTTGTTGTGTAATTTGAATTTTAATGTTGATGGAGTTTATGGTCCAAGAACCCCCGGCCCACATAATTCCACTTCTACAATCAGGCCCAAGTGGCACAAACATAGCAAACAGGACTCCGGACACCTCACTGGGGACGTACAACACACTACAACGAGATACATACGTCCAAAAACAGACACCTGATCCAGAAACATCACTGGGGACGTACATCCAGAAATAGTTGCACCTGGTCCAGAAACATCACTGGGGACGTACGTCTTCCAGCACATGAAGTCCCCAAGGAACGTACGTCCTTCAGTACAAGCCGGCCCCCGGGTATGTACGTCCTTCAGCACCTGAATGCCCCAGGGGACGTACGTCCTTTGTCACCTAAGGGTCCCCAACTACGTACGTCCCTCACCACATGGCGGTATCCAGCTACGTACGTCCTTCACCACATTGCGGTCCATCGGCTACGTACGTCCTTTGGCACATGAGGGCCCCAGGGGACGTACGTCCTCTAGCACATGAAGTCCCCAAGGGACGTACGTTCTCCGGCACACGAAAGCCTCCGGGGTACGAACGACCTCAGGCAATACCCCAACAAGATCTCCTCTCTGCATGCGCTGAATCACCGCATTGAATGCAACGTCACGTCCAAACTACCGCATTGAATGTGGTCACATGCTATGTCGATGCTACCCTGGCCGAGTTAACTCTCCACCGCCGGTTACTTGCCACGTGTACCCTCACTTATTGCACCTAGCATCTATGGCTGCGATAAATAGCTAGCCCCTTCTTCATTGTAAAGGATCCCAAATCCGAACTTGAGTCCATTTAATATACACTCTCTCTCTCTTACTTGTTCCGACATCTCTCTAGATACCCCCAACGGTATTCCCCGGATATACTATCCCTCAAATGTAATATTTTGAAAAATGTAATATTTTGATTTTGTTAAGTGTGGTATATCTAATAGGATTTTCTTAACTATGAGAGTTTTTTAATATGTTGTTATGTCTATGAAATGTTGAATTTAGGTGTATAAAGTGTGTATATTAATGTGTACTCATCAATTATCGTCATGTATTGTTATTAAAATATGGATTTCTCCAACTTCCCAATAGTGTGTCATTGGGGAGGGAAATTATTTGAGGAAGCAGGGGGTATACCCATCGCTATGAAGGTTGTAGGAGAAGGATTGTAGATCTTTCTCGTGGAGCATGTATGCTAGAGATGCTGCAAAAAATATACTCCGTATGTAGCTACAGAGATTCCTCCGAGCCATTCTTTGAAATTTCAAGTGAAATATCCGCTTCACGGGGATCATACATGCTTATGCCAGTTGATGATGAGGAAGTTGTCACGGGAATGTGGAAGATAGTTCAGATTTGTGTCATTGTATGTTTAATATAATTATATTAATTATATTTATATTAATATATACTACATGAATGGCTAGATGACTATTTGTTGATCTTTATCGCACATCATCGGCTTCTGGACTCGGTTTCTACACGGATACATTTGATCGCATGTCTGATGATCGCGTTTGATGTACATAATATGGGTATTAAAAATCATATGAATAATAGTGAGACTATTTTTTTTATACCTATGAAACAGATTACATGGATGCCATATACAGCCCAGATGTTAGAGGAGTTGCCCTTGGCAGGCCGAGAGCATTATGATATATGGCGAGCACATGTGTCGTTGATATGTTTTGACATTCTTGAGCTTAATTTGCATGATAGTGTACTGTAGTAGTTTGGCTATGATCAGGTCATTACAGCAGCTGTCGACACATGTGCACGTCTTCATAAGCTGGATAGGCGTGAAAAGCCTACAGAGGATTGGTCGCTGAGGCATGTGCGATACGTACCTATATGGGAGAGGCGAGCGGAGCTTGTTGTGACTGGGACACCGACATTACTCCCATTTTTTGTAGACTGCATGAGATGGTATTACAGCATCACGTGGTTGTTTGTCTCTCCTTCTTTCAGACTCCCTAGTCACCATTATCAGCCTAGTTCCATGGCTTTGCACTTGACAGTGAGTGTGCTACTAATTACTAAAGTACTCCGTAATTCATGTTCTATATTTAACATTTTTTTATTTGAAATTAATTATAATTTATGTTGCACATTTCAGACACGGGCTTTGCAGCGTATACATGAGCGAGCGAATGGCACAGTGAGTGACACGCATGATGTGGACAAAGACGGTCAGGTTTTGGTAGACATTGCTTCCTTGTATTCGGATGTGTTGGGGCGAGTGGACTATGAGCATCTTATACATTTTTTTAACTCGGAAGACAAACCATCAAAATCAGTGGGGAAAATGCTGGGAAACACTTGCCATGCTTTATTAAAATAAATGAATTACAAACAGAGAGGGGGACTATGCCTAAACCTCTCCAGACGAGGCATACCTCGCCCAAATATAAGTAAAAGAAAATGGGGGGGGGGGGGCTATACCTGACCCAATTAAAAACAAACAGATAAAATGAATTTACACTACACATGCCTGAAAAGAAAGAATACATAAAAACAGACAACTTAGGCAACCCTAAAATTAGGACAATCAACATAATCCAGATAGAATTGAAGAGGAAGCTGAGTGATACGATGGAAGATGGTAGGAGAACGGAAGGTCCCATAAGCCTAAGCAAGAAGATGAGCTAGCAACAACATTCGCCTCTCTGAAGGTGTGAACGAAAGAGAAGCTTGCTTGAGATGCAATGGAATTCATGGGGTGTGCCAGATATCTAAAACAGTCTGCTCCTCGTCCCTTTCTGAGAATCGTAACAGCAGCAAGAGAGTCAGATTCAATCTCCACATCTCAAAACCCAGCGTTCAAACACCAGTGAGCAGCAACAAAGATAGCAGCAAGTTCCGCTTCTAGAGTAGATCGAGCTTCCAGAGGAAAATTTCCGGCAAAAATAAAATGACCTTGTTTTTCTCTCAAAATCGCACCACCATCAGTAAGATTTTTGGAAAAAGCAGCATCAACATTCATCTTAAAGTTACCACTCGGATTTTTCCAATTAATCCTAAGAAATTTAGGAATATAATGCCTCTTGTTCATTGGAAAAAGACGTTCCTCAATTAGAATGTCAGGAATCTGCTTATCTTTATCCAAATTAATACCCGCAGACCAATGACAGATAAATGTGTTAATAACCTTCTTGAGCGATTGAGAGTCAAAATTAGGGGTTGATACACCCCAAGTGAGAGAGTTTTTTCCTAATATAATGTTAAATAAAAAAATATTTACCAAAATAAGATTAGGTTAAAAGTATTCCCAAAACATTGCTCCCGTCAACCCTAGTTAAGAGAGCCGCCACTTGAAGTGGGTGATGGGTGCCGGTACTGTAGTTGTCGAAGAAGATGCTGCTGCGGAGGATTGAGCCATGCAAAAAGAAAAGAACGACGCTAACTCCTAGGGGAACCTGGAGGTTCTGATACCATATGCAAAAGTAATTGTGGAATGATTGTTCACCCTGATAGGGTGTAGTGATGTTATATTTATAATAAACGGAGAATGTTAAAATTACAAAATCAGTGTTATATATTATTAGAGGGGAGCAGTATTTTGGAAAATACTTTTAACCTAACCTTATTTTGGTAAATATTTTTTTATTTAACATTATATTAGGAAAAAACTCAGTGAAAGAAGCATATCATTTCCAGATATGCCAACTAATTATCCCTGGCATATAGTGCTTGTAGATATCAGTGATGGGTTTAGAGCGAGCCTCTAGCCACCACGCAAAGCAAACCTGCCTATGAGAAACTGTCCAAGTAGGAATTCTAATTGCAAACAAACTGATATAATAGGATTAAAGAGGCATGATCTAGGTACAGTTATACATATGACCTCATCTCAAGATTCTATGGCATCGACATCTACTGCAGCAACAACTTCTACATCCCAGAGTCAGTGTGACTAAGTTGTTCTTCAACCACGGCAGCGGTGTAGGCGTGTGCGTCAACAACCACAACTCCATGACCAAGACGATCAAGAAGACCATGAAAACTTGTAGCCTGTCTCCATTATTGGACTTGTTCATATACCCCGAATGTTGTAGAAATTTTTGAATTTGTGAAACACTTTACTTTATGATGTATGTCCACCTGCAAAGTATTGGATATTAGTTACTTAATCATTTGTTTATGATGTGTTTCTGTGTTGGGTTATGCATAGGATGGGAAACAGAAAGTGATGCTTAGTTGATGTGTTGGGTTGATGTGTTGATGTGTTGATGTTATTAGTCTTATGTTTTGATCTGTTTTTTGATGTTTTCTGTTTTTGCATGTGCAGAGGAAAGTTGTTAAATCGTTTGACGACTTTCCCCAACCCAGGTGCAGGGGAAAGTCGGTAATAAGTTTTAACCCAACATTATTTCCGTAAATACTTATTTAATTGGCATTAATTCGAAAAAAAACTCATAATTAATGATTTTCAAATCACTTTTTACATTGTGGGTTTAGTTGGAGAAATGATGATAATTGACCCCACGGGATCATTAATACTCTGTACGTAGTATTTCTTACCTCAGAACCTCGTAAAATCCATCACACAGAAATCATTTACACACTATTAGTTCTTTCAAAGTGAAGTATCACTTTTGGCTTCTCATTTATATCTCATGTTCAAATGTAATATATATCTTTTGAATTTTATAAATAAAATATAATCTCTTAAATTTATAATATGTTGTCAATATGTTCTTTTGTGTTAACAGTTTACAGAATTAGTTCTTGCATTATTCTTGGTGAATAATGTGTATACGAAATGTTGTAAATTGCAATTGGAAATTTAAGGGACAAAATTTGTAGAATTTTTAACTGCATTGTTAACCAAACAAATAACAATGAATGTACTAATAATGCAATATTAAGAGATTATTATATATAAATAAGTTAAAGAGATTGATATAAATGTTGCACTTAAAGAGAAATTTTTCTTTCATTCCTTAAGTTCCTTGAACTTTTTAGGAAGACAGATGATATTAATCACTAAACAGCCTGATCACAAGTCAATGAAAAAACTTGAGATCTCTTTTTAATGTCTGAGATTACACAGTTCATGAAATTTTCAATCCCATGCTAAGAATCTTATAATTTTCCCCACACAACATTTAAATTCAACCATCGATCAAGAAATATTTGATTGAAAAGCACTAGTCTAAGACAATTTAGGTGTATCTCTACATACATCATTAATGCATTATATGTCACTTGTACTATATCACATTTTGACCCCTTTTTTCCTCTACTAATTGTTTTTACACTGAGAAGGAATTTCAGTGAAAGAAACCCTCCCAAAACCCAAATGACCAACTTGAGATAACTCTAACCAAACCTCATCTGCATTAAACCTGGCGCTAAAATTGCCTTTTACCCATTCTAGGTCTTCAATTCCAAAACCCGCCGATTCAATTCCGGAACCCCAAACGCCTCCTCCGCTCCCCATCCTCGAAACGACGTCGTCGCTTCGGTAGCTGCAGTCCCTCTCCTTATTACATATCCGGCCGCCGCCGCCCCTCTTCCGCCGCGCCAATCCCAGGCACTTCCGCCCCAGCGTCCACGGGACCTTGAACAATGCCAGGACCAAAATGTCCACGACGGCGCACGGACAACAACAGACCGCGACGCAGTCGGCGATTACCCCCGCCGTGCACGACTTGCAGCAGGTCTTCCCCGTGCACACGACCGGATCTCCGGCGTCCTCCTCCTTCTTCACCGCGCCGCCGCTCCTGCGGTTGTTGTTGCCCACCCGGTCGTCTTCCATTGGAGAAGAAATGGCGGATTCCTGCGATTCTTAGGTTTCGGGAGATTGATGGGACGGACGGTTACTTCTGATATGGGATAAAGCTTTTCTGTAAAAGTAATAACTACCGAAATCACTATATAATGCGCATTTTCTGCAGGGATGGAAAATGTATTAATAAAAGTGCGAAAATGTGTGTGCGGGAAGAGTAGTTGACTGAAGTGAATGAGAAGAGAGATGGGTATTGGAAATGGAAGGGAGGAGAGAGGGATATGAATGCTGCCAAATGTCATAGTTGGCCAATACATATATTAGCATATATTTACACAGTACTGCAAATGTTCTATGATATGAAGAGCACATGTGCTAGTCTTTGGGTCCCTTGGAAATTGGGGGTTATAATATGGAGTATTTTGAATGGACTTCATAATTAATATTGGTACTTGTGATTCCCATAAAATATGGACAAAGTTGACTAATAAATCACATATGTAGACATGTAGCGTTCGTTTGGTAGCTATGATTTTTTGTTTTTTCAGGTTTATAAGTCAACTTTTTCAACAAACACATAATTTTTGGTTTTACGGACCAGATTGTGTAATAATAAGAAAAAGTAAGGTCGGAGTCACTTTTCTAGTTGTATCGGCTGAAGTTACTGTAGAGGGTCATTTTAGCTATTTTTCATATAATTTTTTCTTTATTTTATTCATAAAATGTATTTTAAATTATTATTTTTCACAAATCGGCAGAATCAGCCAATGCAGCCACATCAGCCAGAACTTCATAAATTTGAGCAGAATCAACCAATACAGCCAATTTGGCTATTACCAAACATGCTCGTAATAAGAAGATAAAAATTTGGGAATGAGATTTGTGCAAAGTTTTCAAAGCAATTTACTTTCCTCACTTGTTTTTTGTGAATGCAAATATTGGAAGTAGTGTATCATTTACTCCGTATTATAGTAAATGAAGTCGGAATACTAGTTTTAGAATTCAAAATGATCTTTCCAACGAGATATGAAACGCTTCAAACGGAAGAACGGAAGAACAAATAGCAAGATATGATCAAATCAAATAATTAACGTAAATAGAGCATATTTAACACTTTTAGCTAGTACAAAGAGGTATAGATGGAGGGTAGGATGTGTACCTCAACATGACAACATTGGATGTTGTTATGATCAACCCTATTCTGATTTTATTCTAAAATATGTTCTGCTTTTAGCCTAGATTAAGACAAATAAATAATGAGATTTGGTTCTATTTGCATGCGGTTATCACTCATAATTAGTAAACTACATCTTCATCGCATGACTCTGCACGAGTAGGAATAGAATATCTTATACTCCTTTTGTCCCTTAAAGCTTTGTTATCTGTAAATAATATAGGATATTATTTATAATATAAAATGATATGAAAATGGTTTTCTTAAAACTACTTTCATATACATATAAAACTTATAACTTTCACAAATGATATTAACCAAAACCATGGGTCAACACTTGAAAAGTCCATAAAATTTTTATGGAGGGAGGGAGTATATTTTTACCGCTAATGTGGGTGGACGATTAACATGCCTTGGAATATGGTAGTTCTTTAGAGTAGATTACTCTTAGAAATATGTTTTCTCTTATTAATTCATACTCTTATCAAATTTGGTGTGTGGGCGCATTCACCCACAAGCTGGTGGTGCGATAAAGTGAACTAATTTTGAAATTCCTTGGTGAACCTATTAACTTAAGTTCAAATAAAGATCGCAGATTTTTCCAAATGTTTGTGATGATTCGAACCTATTAACTTTATTCGAATGCATCCTAATTGTCTATAAATAGAACTAATTGCGGGTAATTTTTGTTGACCTTTATTATTCTCATGATCTTGCCACACTTTATTTTATTATCTGCAGTAATAAAATTAAAGTACTTAGACTACTTTGTATACATATAACTTGTTTAGTGTTATTTTGCTGGTAGCTAAAATACACTGGGCATCTTCTTTTTATTTATCTTGTAACTCGGCTACTGTGATAAGGGTAGATAGTAAACTTTTAGGGAAACTATCTTATACGTGACTAGAAGTGATATCTGGTCCAGTCATAATTCATACCCTTATATTATAATACTAAATAATGCCGCCGGATCTAACAGGCATCAATCCCCTCAAGATCAATTCATATTGTGTATTGCATATCTCACAAAATAGAATTAGTGAACTAAATGAATACAATCTTAATGTCATAAGCATCATGGAATGTAGTGTTTTTATGCTCTAAACAATTTTCTATTGCTAATCTAAAGAAAACGTGGTAAAGAACTAAAGATGAGTGAGGAATGAGAAGAGCATCTATGATGCATGATACAATTTTGAAAAGGAAGATTCTATGGTACCCTTAAGGTACCATACCTTTGTTCACATGGACCAATCAGAATGCTGCAGTTGAATTATTTAAATCTAAATTAAAAATGATATAATGATTTGGACCAATCAAGTGATTGATAGGTACGGTACCCCAATTTTTAAATGGGTACCGGAGTTATCACTTTTTGAAAATGGGGAGATAAATTAGATAAAGCTAGCTATGGGTACTATAATGACTTTCTAAATCTGTGAGCTTACTTTTTATATCAATTATGATCAAGTCAAGTCTAATGTGGCCGGGTATGTTTAAATCCGATTTCCTGTTTAATTAAGTACTACGTATGATATAGTCTTAGGAGGTCTAATTTTATACGAGTAGTATGTGCATTTTATAATTAGTGATGTTATTCTAGCCTTATTAAGTTTAGTATGATTTGATTGTTTAAGTCTAAATCTTATATTAAAACTAGACAATGATCCTGGGCTCAACTAGTAGATAGGGGTATCACAGGGGGTAAATTTCGGGTTCAAATCTTGTCATCTGCGATTATAGTTTTCTATGTAAAAATGCATAAAGCATATGCAATATCTGGATTAAAGTCTCGCTCTCTATTTGTCAGTTTGTGATTAAAATCTAATTTACACACTCTCAGTTTATTGACCGATCGGCGTTGGAGAGTCCTCAGGGATGATGTGTCATCCTTTTTTAAGATTAAAATAAGTTCAAGAGAACAAGTTCTAACTACATGGAAGTCTAGGCAATTGTGTCTTCTTACAAATAGAATGTGATTTTGTACCTTTCACATTATACCTGTATAGATTTGCAAATAATTATCAAGATATGTTTGGAACCTTTCATCATTTCATGCCTTTATAAAAGATAAGTATTCCCCTTGTGTGAGAGTATTCTTATTAAAGATATACGACCCATGTAATCTATAGAAATGGTCAGAGTATTTTACATATGATGTTAGTGTTAGTATGCTATGCATATACTATGACTTATTCATCATAATGGTTAGTAAATAACAATATTCTAGAGATATCAGCTATGAAGGTAATATGTGGCGGTGTGAACATTTTCCTAAGGTGAACTCCAATTAATTTTTAGTTTACCATTTTATCATTTTATATAGAGATTATCCAAAATAGGACTAAAAATGTTTGTATATTCCAAAATAAGACTATCATGTTTTTATTCTCAAAATAGGACTAATTACTGTCATGTTTTGACAGTACTAGACTTTAAACATGATAGTATTTTCCAAACTGGACAGTAATTACTCCTATTTTGGGAATAAAAACATGGAAGTCCTATTTTGAAATTTTTTAAACTTTTTTACTCCTATTTCGGGAATTTTTCCTTTTATATATCACTTCACCATTTACCTTTTGTTTATATCTTATTTTACTCAAAGGTTAAAACAATCATGTTTTACTTATAGTTCTCTTCCCTCTTGGATATGTCATTTTTTAATTAGAAGATAAAATTAAATATTTAGGCTTATGGGTGGACCTGGTCGGCGGTTCCGGGCCCGGTCGACGGTTCCGGACCCGCTATTGTGCGGGACCAGACCGGGACCGCAAAATCGATCCAGGTGCAGGACCGGGTATCCGACCGAGTAACAGGTGGTTCTGGTCCCGGGTTCCGATATTTGGGACCGAACAGGGCGGTTCCAACGTCGCGGATCGACTTTTTTTACCCTGAAACCAAGTGAAAAAACTATAACAAGTATGGAATCGCCCGAGTACCCAGAGCCGGTCCATAAGCGGATTACTACAGGCCCGGCAGTCCTTGAAAAAAATGGGAAGGACCCGGCGGTCTCGGCCGGAACAAGGACCCGACCAACCTGGGTCCACCCCTACTTAGGATTGATGTAATATGTGTCGTTTGTATTGCTTCCCAAATTCAGTAGAGTCTATCATTGTGACTTCTGATTGGTTTGCTTGCATTTGTTGGGTGCTGACACGAATTTAATTAGATGGGTAGTGGGATTAAATATTATGTGGCTCGTTAGTGATTGGGGTGTCAAAATGACAAAACATAAAGACTGTACGATGAAAGCTTATATTGGATTGAAGACAAAGAAGAGAGTGATTCTATTTATGACATTCCCCTCTAAGTGGAGCTTGATGTTTCAGAAATTTAGTTTCTCCTTGAAGTGTCACTGTCACTGAGCCTAGCTACCTCTTATCTCTCACATTCTTAATGAACTTAATTGTCACTGGCAACTTCATTTTTAATCTCTTTACACACACCCATATGTTATTGTCCATTATGAATTGTGATCCATCTATTCACCATCCTCTATATCTGCTTTTGAATGTGTCATCTCACCAAAGCTTTGATGTGAAAAATCAGCCATATATTCTCTGTGAATTAAGCTTTCTAGGACATGTATCTCATTACTTAGCGGAGGAACTTGAATCATACTCCCTCCGTTTCTGAAACAAGTTCCACCTTTCCTTTTCGGGCAGATTCAAAATTAAGTTCCACTTTCAAACATTTCCTTATTATCTACATCAAAACAGTGTCAAACAGTGTCAAACAGTGTTCAAACAGTGCCAAACAGTGCACTCCACAGTAAAGTCAAATTTATTTTCTTAATATGTGTGAAGTCAAATGTGGAACTTGTTTAGGAATCGGAGGAAGTAGTATTGAAAGGGCTGGAGTTTAGAAAAATTAATAGGGGAGATAAGACTTCATATTTCAGCAAACTTTTCTAGACTAAACAGTTGTGTGTGTAATTAGCATATACGTACGTAGTACTACTAATATATATATATATATATATATATATATATATATGTTGTAGAGAGAATTGTGTGTAGAGTTTCATTACCGAGAGCCCCTATAAATAGGGATAGAGTAGGGTTTACAAGTACGGGCCAATCGGCCCATAATACATCATTTACATCGAAAG